AAAAAAGAAAGTATATCTATAGTCCCCGCCACAGATAATCCAGATTCCTGCAAAAAATGATTTCTTTGTCGGCGATGCCCTAATAAACAAAAACCGCTGCAAAACTCTACACATAAAGAGTTGAGAATAAATTTAGTCCAAGAGTATCAATTTTTTGATTTTGTTTATCCGGGCATCGCCGACAAAGAAATCATTTTTTGTAGGAAGCTTGGATTATCTGGTGCGGAGACTCTCGACTCTAAATGCCTGTCCAATGCAGTGTAAAACCCAAACGATGTGTTAGGTACACAAAGGGCACAATATTGTTTTTTTCCTTCCAGCCACAACGAATCATGCTTAAATTGCCCTGCTTTGAAAATTTTTTGGATTATTTTGGAACACCATGTACAGGAGCGAGGACATATACATATCTACAAAATTTGGATTCATCTTCTCTTCTGGACTTACTTCTCATTAGACTTACTCATTTTTATAATTTTTACTTATTTCCGAGCCTTTTTCAATGTTTCCACGGTTTCCCTCCATTACGACACGAATCAACAGATATGTAACTAAAAAATTTACCCTAAACGGGGTGGATAGAAACTTCAGGGTCAGTAGAAACAATATTACGAAACTTACTAAAAAAGTACAAGTTCAAAATCAAAACAAAACAGGAAAACCTAACCTAAAAATCTTCTGTGGAAAGTACGCGCACGCGCATAGTGAAGGAGTCACGTTGAGATATAGACGCAAGTATTATATACTCGCTGAAGAGTATACTCTATTACTTCATCAATTGAAATTCTAAAACAACTCTTTTCTAGATCTGGTTTGTACGGAAGCCCGGTCGTGCAATCTGCCTTCCGAGTTCTTAGTTCATAGTTCTGACGTCACAACTCGGAATTTCTGATTTACTACGTCATAACTCGGAATTTCTGATTTACTACGTAAGAAGTCCGTTATCGATGTTATCGTTGAGAATTGTAAATGGTAACCTAAAAATGTGTCCGGTTGGATTATTTTTATTTGCATTTGCGATGTGATTTTTAACAAAACAAAACTGGATAGCAAAATCCTAAACATTCTATATGAAGCAGATAACCATCATTTTAGAGGCCTATGTCGCCTGTCTCTCAGATCTTTAAAATAATTGATCCACCAATTTCTACCAAGCCGTCTCATTTGAGACCATCAACAATCAATTCTTTGATTAGATATATGCTGTTGCCTTGTATAAAGCTTTTTTGGCGTGTACAAGTGTATCGGCGTGAAAATATGAAAAATAGGTTTGTGATAGAGCAACCTCGAGAGCAACACACATATTTTCTGTCCCCAAATCAGTTCTCACACATTCACAGACAAAAAATATTGAAAAATATAACTAGTAGTAGGAGAGCAAGCTGTTCATCTACTAACCAATTTCCCACAAAGCTAGACATTTTTTAAATAATGTTTTATTATCGGTCAATTAAGAAAGTAACATTCTGGCAGGCATCTCGTGGTTGCGTCATAATTTCTCAAGTGTGACGATAGCAAAGTTATTATAGGGTCAATCATTTATAACCTGCTTCCACAAGGCTGAAATTTTAAGAGAATATTCTTTTATTGATTCAAAAAGTATATGTAATAGTCCGGGAGTTAACGACATATTTCATTGTACCATTTCCGCAAGCTTCATTCTTTTTGTATGTGTTATGCGTGTAGTATATGATAGTAATATGAACGTCTGCCGGCGCACCAACACGACAGGGGGTTACGAGAGGGTTACAATTACAGCAAAAAATTAACGAAAAAAACTTAAAGCCGCATAAGCGAAACTTATTGTACGTATTGGTAGAAACATAAAAAGCTCAGAAAATATGGTCTGCCATCTAAATTCCGCAACAAAAGTCGTCTGCCACCCACATATGTAAGCGCAAAAAAAAAATATAAAAAAAAATATACTCGCAAGGCTGAAATTAATTAAAATGCTTATTTTTATGGAAACAAACACAAACATAATAGCCTGCCACGAATAAGATACAACGAAGATCGTCTGCCAAGCCTATGAAGTTGGGTTCGGCATGCAGTGCCCGAGCACCACCGCCAGGACCCTGCATTTTTCTCTTATTCCTATTTATTTTATTTTTTTTGTAAGGCTAACCAAAATAAATTGTGAAAAGCTCAAGTCTAATGTTCTAAAGTTCTTAAAGAGACTATAGAAGGATTCATCGCGTACACTCAAAATGAAAATGAAAATTTTCCCTTGAAATATTTATTTTCTCTTTTTGACACTTGTCAAACTCACTGTAAAAATAATTAATTTCAGTCTTGCGGGTATAATTTTTTTAAATTTTTTTACTTATGTGGGTGGCAGACGACTTTTGTTGTGGAATTTAGGTGGCAGACCATATTTTCTGAGCTTTCTATGTTTCTACCAATACGTACAATAAGTTTCGCTTATGCGGCTTTAAGTTTTTTTCGTTCATTTTTTGCTGTAATTGTAACCCTCTCGTAACCCCCTGTCGTGTTGGTGCGCCGGCAGACGTTCAAATTACTATCATATACTACATGCATAACACATACAAAAAGAATGAAGCTTGCGGAAATGGTACAATGAAATATGTCGTTAACTCCCAGACTATAAATAGCCAGCCTATTCTGGCGGTTGCGAGTTTCTGCCAGACGAGTATATAAGGTGGGTTCGGCTTGCTCACTCCGTGCATTCCGAGTGACTCCATTCGCACTCCAGTCGTTCGGGTTGAGGTTCGGGTATTGCTTTTTACCGTATTAGGGGTGACTTCATTAGCTCTGTTCACTCCACTCCAACTCCGCGCTCAATAGCCGAACCCAGCTATTATAGTCTCGATGGGAGTGCGAGCGCAACAGACTTAGGGCGGGTATTATAAAACTGCTTTGACAGTTAAGTTGAAGTTAACTTTTTGAATTACATGAAGTTAACTTAAAGTTAACTCTCAAAGTAGTTTTATAATACCCGCCCTTATACGGGTTCTAATGTCATGTCGGAATGAGAGGATACGATATGACTACTATACTCGTACTACTATATTTTCAATTTTCACCAAACTAGCAATAAATGAGCATTTCCGAGTTATGACGTAGTAAATCAGAAATTCCGAGTTGTGACGTCGAACTATGAACTAAGAACTCGGAAGGCAGATTGCACGACAGGGCTTCCGTAGGTTTGCATCTTCCTCTTCTGCCTATGCCTATTATGTTAATCAAAATAATAAACTACGACCGCTGGCGCAAACAGCTGACGACCTAGGGCCATATTCTCCGTAGTTCATAAAGCCTGGCTTAGTGGAAACTTTGGATTTTTGTGTAACAAAGCCGAGCTTCTCCCACTAAGGGTGGGTATTATAAAACTGCTCTGACAGTTAACTTAAAGTTAACTTTTTGAATTACATGTAATTCCAGAAGTTAACTTTAAGTTACCTCTCAAAGTAGTTTTATAATACCCGCCCTAAGGCAGTCTTTATGAACTACGGAGAATAGCCCTCTTAGTTAATTACGTCGGCAATGGTGCTACACCAATATGGCTGCGATTACCAAAAACGAGGCCGAAAAGCAATCCTCATTCCTCAGTAGTGTGTATTATCCTTGCGTCAACATTATACAAATCTCCATATAGGGCACCCCTTGAGGGTACCCCCCAGATGCGTTATCAAGTTACCCATTACCAGACAACCTATTAACAAAAGTTAATTGAAGGCGATCAATCACAAGGATGGATTAACCCAAGAACGATAAACCACAGAGGATGGTGACATCGGCGATTTTTTTCCGCCAGCTTAGCGCGAGCAGGCGCTGCTCTAGTGACGTCACCTGTCCCACTCTCGAAACAAGTTTTATGCGTTATTGGTATAGAAGGATATTAAGGTTTAGCCATTAATGATGTTATTTCGATGCTTTCGATACAATAAATTTCGACAAATTTTATGTTAAACTTTTCAAATTTTCATTGAAGGGGCTGTGCGCCAAAAATTAAAGTTTTAGTGTGAAAAAATCTAAGAATAACTGTTCAAACCTCCTTATTCTACGATAAACCATCGCTGAGATATACCGCTTTAAAGTGTGGACGACGCTCTCGTGACGTCACGAAAACTTCGTCCAGCCGCGCTACGCATTGTTAATTTGATTGTTCCCGGCACGTGTGAGTGGTTTTTGTTTAGAGTATTGCAGGTAACACAGGAGAAACATATGTAAATTTAAATAACTCCACTTTCTCGTGCGTCGCTTGAGCTTTCGTGACGTCATAGGGTGAGATGCGGTACCTTCATAGAGCCATATCTGCGGTATTATTTGTCATAGAGGGGTGCGGATTTCACTGTTAGATTTTTTTTCCCTTTTTTTTGAGATGAAGTTGTTTTTTTGGCGCACACCCCCTTTAAGAGCAATGTCGAGCAATGTAACTAATACGAAATCTTTGAATTGAGTGGGCCGGAGTACGTCACGCGTCCGGTGATTGACCTTTGCGGTCGGCTAGAATTGGCGAACGCGAGGCTTACGAGAAGCGACCATCCTCTTGTGGTTATTGTTTTTGGGATTAACCATTCGGTTATCTTGACAGATGAACAATGCATTCAATTTCATATAACCGATTGGTTGACAAATCACGTTGCTCTTATAGTGGTGACGTCCCCGGCAGACCTCGAAGTGATGCTTGCGATGCAGGTTGTGCTTGTTTTTTAGTCGATTTTAGGTGTAGAAAAGAGAAAAGGTGATGAGTAAGAGAAATGCCGTCCTATTAAAGTGTTCTTGGAAAACAGCAGTGAGCGAGCAGTGATTAAGTTGTGAAATTAAAAATAAAAAATTTTTCTCCAACATAAGATAATTTGATTGACAGTGCAGTCATCTAGCAGGGAAACGCTCAACTATTACCTATTTGTACAATTACGTCGGTTGAATGCAGCCTGATTCAAATTGTCAAGCTGAATTCCCAGACCAATCAGAAAATTAGTTTGTCCCCTCGTGATCAAGCTCTTGTGCCGTGCCTTCGCCTTTCTCCTCCGCCATTTTATTTTATTCAATGTAAAGAGAAATCCCTGGCTTCCTCGCTAAATGGTGGATGTGTGAAAATTTGAAAATTATTGTGAAAGTAGTGCAACAAGTTTGTTATTTTTTTTTTCTTATAGTGTCTTTTTAGTTTTTATTAAAAATAGCTTATTTTTAACGCACTTAGATGCTTTTTATTTGGGTAAATTGAGGAAAATTGCAAAGGCTTTATTCAGTTTTTTATTGTAATTCAGTTCAGAGGATATTTTAGAGGTAGAATATACCTATTACCCTAATTGTTTATTTAAAGTAGGAGAATGAATAGAACTCGAAGAGCAGGCCAAAAGCCTCCAATTGTAGACCAAATTAGTCAAATCATAATCTACGATAAACCCAACAAACCTCAGGTTCCAAAAGAAATATTGAAACAGTCTAGAAAAGTTAAGTTAGGCCAAGGTGATATTGTTTTAACTCGCCAAGATTCCCCTGTAGAATTTGTAAAGAGAAACGTCAAAAGGGAAAGGGAGAATGATGATATAGAAGAAGTAGTAAACATCAAAACGGAAAATTTTGCAAGTCTGAGCCAAGATTATGAAACTGTCAGCACAGAAGATCCACAGCTTGAAGATCTTCCCGATGACCCACCTACATTTAAAAAGCCAAGAGGACGGCCTAAACAAATCGAATCTACCAAAAAACAGAAATGTACAGTTTTAAATTTTATTATGAGACACCCTATAAACCCTGATATTACTATGGGCAGCGATGCCTCTTATGATGCTGTTGACAATAATGATCAGAGTCAACGACCAGCTAGATTAAGAAGGAGGCCGGCGAGATTTAACTATGCCGAAAATGAAGCTGAAGAACATTACACAATTGATACTTCTTCAGTTTTAAAAAGTACCAAGGTAGGTTGTTTTGTCCAAGTAGGATCAACTTAATTAGCAGTACCTACATTTTTCTATGTGCTAACTTCTCAACTTCAATATAGAATAAATTTATATATTATTCTGTTTCAGCATTCACAACTTTCAATCACTCCAGTTTATAGAAGCGAGCAAATTGAAGAAGAGGATAATGTAGATAATGAAGTGCCGACAAGTGAAAAAAATGATAAACCAACAAAAAAGCCAGCCAAGAAATTGCCAGCGAAAAAAGCAAATAAACAAGATCTACAAAAAAAACCAGATAAGTTACCGAAGAACATTAAAAAAGAAGTGGAAGAACAGGATGAACAAGTACTAAATACAAGTCATGAAGATTTGTACGAGTCTGAAGATAGTCGTCGAGAATGGATGCCTAAAGAACTAGTTGAATTGAAACAGCAACACATCATGAAATCAACAAAAGATAATCACAAATGCAAATTTTGTTCAAAAACATTTTCCACATATTATGGTCTTAGAAAGCATAGAGTGATAGACCACGACGATATGGGTAATGTAGGCAAAAAGTGTGAGAATTATGTTGCAACAGAAGAAACAGATGAAATGTCCAAAGAAGATTCTGATGTTGATGAGGAAAGCAGGCGCGAATGGATGCCCCAAGATTATGCTGATTATAAAGTAAAGCATAGCTTAAACAAGCAAAAGAAAAATGGTTTAAGATATAATTGCAAAATCTGCTTATTGAAGTTTAGCACCTATTATCAATTTAGCAAACATAAGGTAAGGATTTATGGATTTTTGCTAATTTGGCATTCGCTTTTAGTCAAATATAAATATGTCGATTTTGATAATGCACTAAGTGATAATATTTATTTCAGTTGGAACATGAACAAAAAGCAAACCCTTATGAATGCAAATATTGCCCAGAACAATTCAATGACATAGATATTTTCCTTGCTCATAACAGAGTACATCAAGGAAAAGATCCATACCCATGCAAAAAATGCTCCAAAACATTTGATAACAAAAAAGATTATGACGTTCACATGTCGGTTCATGTATTGAAAAAAGCCCCAGCTCTACCAAAAAGGTAAGCATCAAGTTGTAATGTATTTGCAGTTTTGTCCAGTAGGACAATAATTTTGAGGGTCTAGTCGACTTTGACTTGGAGTACCACAGATTTTCCAAATTTTTTCTTGAGTAGGTGGAATCCCTTCAAATAGAATAGAGGGCCTGTACAGGGTGGCCCAAATTCGAGCCTCATCATTGGGATCTCGGTAACCATGACCATGAGAGATACGGGGTCGGTTAAATTATGGCAAAGTTGCGCAATTCTATGACCAATAGAATACTGTTTTGAGACTAGAAAAATTCCGAATACTTCCGGAGATATTCGGAAAAAACCAAAATTTTGTAAAATCGTTTTTATTTTCTCCCGGGCTTATTTGAAAAGCAATTTTAAAATAAATGTCACTTCATCATTGTCACTTTTTCCCCTTTAGAAGATGGTGCTACTAAATTTAAAATTCGACGTTTCGTCTTCAGGCGACCATCCTCAACTTACGTTTTTTTAATACGGATTTTTTATTTGCGATTTTGTCATCTTTGGGCATCCTTAAACTGATACTGTTTATAATTTTTCAATAACCCAGTAAAAAAAGCACGTCCTTATTTTAGGGCCAAATTATGGACCAACTGGTAAGTGTCTGGTTGTTACCTAGCAGGTACTTTCTATTCTCTAGTGCATAGAAAGTACCTGCTAGGTAACAGCCAGACGTTTACCAGTCAGTCCATAATTTGGCCCTAAAAAAAATAAATTGATGATTCCAGAGGAACGAAACATTGGATTTCAAATTTAATACCGCCATCTTGTAGAGAAGAAAAAGTTACAATGGGAATGTGGAATTAGTTTTTCAAAATCTTTTTAAATGGAATCAGGAAAAAATTTAAGAAAAACGAGAAATTCATGTTTTTTTCATTTTTTCCTGATTTTATTTTAAAAGATTGTGAAAAACCAATTTTACATTCCCATTGTCACTTTTTCTTTTCTACAAGATGGCGGTATCAAATTTAAAATCCAACGTTTCGTTCCTTTGAAATCATCATCAATTTATTTCTTTTTAAATGCGAACCTGGTTTTTTTACTGTGTTATCGAAAAATTATGAACAGTATTGGTTTTAGGATTCCCAAAAATGACAAAATCGCAAATAAAAAATCCAGGTCCGTATTTAAAAAAAGGAAGTTGAGAATGGCCCCCTGAAGATGACACCTCCAATTTTAAATTTAGTAGCACCATCTTCTAAAGGGGAAAAAGTGACAGTGATGAAGTGGCATTTATTTTAAAATTGCTCTTTAAATAAGCCCAAGAAAAAATAATAATGATTTTACAAAATTTCAGTTTTTTCCGAATATCTCCGGAAGTATTCGGAATCTTTCTAATTTCAAAACGGCATTCTATTGGTCATAAAGTTGCGCAACTTTGCCATGATTTAATCGACCTCGTATCTCTTACGGTTACCGAGATCCCAATGATGAGGCTCGAATTTGGGCCACCCTGTACAAGCCTCATGTATTCTTATTTTCTCATGTGATGTAATCCAATGCCTTATGTATTCTTATGTATTCCTTTGTATTCTCCAGTGTATTCCTTTACTTAACGATATCAAATTTGATTCTGTCGATTGCCATAAGCAAGAGCAACCGAATATTCTTTCACAAGATTTCGCCCTTATTTCAACCCTTTCAATATGTGCAAACCTTATGGTTTTGGTTTTTTCGCTATTAGATTGTTATAGGTAATGCAAAGAGAAATTGAAAAAATAAACTATTTTTTTCTGCACAAGGAAAATACATTTTTCATATTTTGAGCTCAGCACTTATATAATTTGCAGTGGTTAAAATCCCTGAAGAAAGAAAATCAGTCAGCAAAATCTGTCATTGGCTGACGGTCTATTATCTGCGCAAGTCAAAAATACTTTACACTTGGCTAAACTTAAAACAGGCAATATATATTTCCTAAATTTGCCTAGTGTGAGTTAGGCTTAACAAGAAAAAGTCTCTTAGGCCTGACAGTTTTTGTCAACGTCAAAGCCGTTATGATTGGTTTATATATGACACTGACTTGACTCTTTTTGTCATTATTGATGTGATAAAAAAGGTCGATTTACACAATACAACACAATAGGACAATGCATACCAGTTTTATGATTGGCCAAGTGTATACCCATGTTAGTGCTCCCTAAACAGGTTGCAATTATTAAAAAAGCTCATTATTCTCTCACACATTACTGATTCAAACATTTTTTGAAAATTCAGACAATAAATTAATTGGCGTGTAATTGTCAATTACTTTTGGGTCACCTTTCTTGTAAATTTTTTTATTAGAGCCAGTTTCAGTTTGTCTGGAAATAATCCAAAGAACATCTCACACTTCTTATGGATTTTGGTCACCGACGGATTTTGTTGAAACTTTAGTAAATTATTTAAGAAATAGAAATAAGCATTTTCTTTCATTGCGCCGACCTCGTAGCGATACAGGGTGATACTGAAAAATTAGGTCAAATATTTTTTTTTTTTCATTATCTACTGTGAAATATTGTAGGTAATTTAAATTTGGTTGATAAAATCAGGCATTTAAAAAAAAAATTAAACAATATACAGGGTGTCCCACGAGGTTCCTCCCAAATGATCATTTCGGAACGCATCATTATATGTTCCCACTCATAGAGAAATATAATAAACCAAGGTAAGAGTACCTGATTGATAACATGAAAGTTTGTATAGCGCTGACGTCACAGCGACGGTGGCGTCAATAGTGGCAGCCGGAACAAATACTGAAATGGCGGGAAATTTGAAATTTGACTTGAGTTGATTGCACAAAAAACTTATGTTGTTCTACATCTTTTTTTCTCAAATCCGAATGAGAAAAATGTTGTGGTACTCCATAAAGTTTTGTGCCATTTTTTGATGTAGGTAGATTTAAAAAAAAGGCAAAATAAACACTAAATTGTACTAGAAAAAATATATATTATAGCTAGATAGGTCAAATACCTAAAGAGTTTACAAACACAGTTATAACATCCCTTATACATGCTTTAATGTATGTACAAGCTAAGCTGGCCAAGGCCTAACATCTACATTTTATCTTTTCTGACTGAAATCTCCTAAAACAGTAAAAAAATATGCCGTACATCACAAAACTAACATGTATACTTACTGGTTCAGTTTATCCTAGTTGTACATAAATATTATAGGTACGCGATACCGAGTGCCTTAATAAAAATGACAATTTCTTCTTCTTGTTCTTTAGATTTTGTGAGTTCGAGTCTTCTAGACAACCGCCCAATCGGTTAAAAACGACAAATTTCAACACGGAAATGTCGTTATTTTAAGGTTACTTATTTGTTTTCTCGGTCACAGTTTCTATAGCTATGGATGTTTCATAGGTTTCTACAAAACAGCTAGGAAAGCTCTGTAACTCATACGGTGTCCTTGTCTTGTGAATTGGTATGACAGAGAAAGATGAAACAGAATCGAATGATCGGACTGATCTTTCGGAAGTCTCTAGCTTTCCAAAAATTCCGCAATGCGCTATGCGCAACCGGATGCGCAGTAATAGTATAACCTATTTCGGCTATACTTTTCAAGGTCTTTTTATTTTTTATTGTCTATGTTCCCACTGTATAATTTTCTGTCATATCCTTTAACAAAGCCCCAACAAATATGGCATAGTCGATTTTGTAATTTAATTTTCTAACGAAAAATACCATAATATACCATGAGTTACATTTAAGATTCGAAAGTTGACGTCACTTGACCCAAATTGAAGCAAAAGTGGTAAAATTGGATGACAATGGTAGAAGCGGCACAAAAAGTTACCCAGATCCTCAAAATTTCAATTATATTGGATGACGCGTTCCGAAGTTATCACCTGGGAGAAACGTCGTGGGACACCCTGTATATTCCAAAAGTGATATTATTGTGTGATATCCAATTTGGACCCTTTTAAAGGAAAAGCTTCACAACTTTTTTATTTATGAAAATAATTGTTTTCCGTAAAAACTTTCTGAAAGCACTTTTTCAAACAGAATCTGATGACATTCTCAGTTTTTTGGTATTCTGCCAGTATTCCGAGATATTGACCAAAGTTCGATTTTTAATAGGAAACCCTATATTCTATAATAGCTCAGTGGATAGCCCTGCTTTTGCTGATTTCAATGTTATAAAGTTCGATAGGTTTATCTTTAAGATTTTTTGAGAAAAAAATCAAAATCTGTTTTTGTCATGAGAACCTTCGTTTTAGAAATGGACTTTACATCTGCAAGGAAAATGAAAAAGGTCATTTTCCAACACATTGTGTCTTATGACAAAAACATATGTATTTATTTATTTTTTTTCTCGAAAAATGTTAGAAATTAACCTATCAAACTTTATATCATTCTTCTTCTTCTTATTCTTCAAGTGCCTTGTCCTCTGGGGACGTTGGCAATCATCAGCGCTATCTGTACTTTGTTGACTGCTTTTCTGATAGACCTGTCGTGGTTTCGCCATACCAGTGACGCAAATTCTTTAGCCAAGATATTCTTCGACGTACAGGGCCTCTCCTGCCTTCGATTATGAGCTTGAGAAGTAGGTAGGTAATTGTCATTCCTGAGTATGCTTCCGAACTACTCTAAGTTTCGCTTTTTCAAGCGTTAACATAACTTCAAGTTCTGTGACATTCACATTAGCACATCTTCATTTGCGCACTTTGTCCGTCCAAGAGATTTTTAACATTCGTCTATATGTCCACCTTTCAGAAGCCTCTAGCTTTTTACACATGGCGTCTGTTAAGAGTCCACGCCTCAATCCCATGAAAGAGAATACTGGAGACGTATCAACGTAGTACCTACTCGTCCTACTCAAGTGCGAACCGAGAGCGGAGAGACCTGACTGCACAACATGGATTTACAAATGATGCTCTGGGCTTGTTCAACCCTGGCACGAACCTCCTGCATATTATCCCAGTCTTCATTAATAACCTGATATCTTAGGTATCTGTATGATTGAACCCGATTGATCTGTTGGTTCTGTACCTTAAGAATACCTCC